GGCTTTACGGTTGTACTCCTGCCATGTCGCTCATCGCAAAGAGTTTTAATTTGTCAAATATTCAAGTGCAAATGCAATTGTGTCACTTTCTAATGCAATCCATGTCATTATATGACATGCCATATATGTAAAGAAAACGAACTTTGAAAGTTTCGAATGCGTGATTTCATGCTACAGTCCTGGCGCGTTTCAACCCTTGGGATATTTTACTACAATAGGGCGTGTCTACATCTAAAATTTGCATATAACATTACCGCGTAACAAAGTTGTGATAAAGGAAAGGGTGGTATAAACAAGGATCAGTGATTACTTGAAATCGATACCAGGAAGGGGGGGTAAAAGAAAAGTTATATAACAATTTATTATTTAATAATTTATTAAAATACATAAGTTTGACCAACTCCCTGTGGTTTATCGTCACATATGTCGCATATGCGCAGCGCGACGGCTGTCGCCATTTAAGTTTAACCTGTCAACCAATTATCGCTCACTAATCGGCGCTACCTGGTGATCCGGCACGACAACGTTACCCACAAATTACTGCGTTTTTCATCAGGCAACAGACACTATTCTATTTTCGGGTGCCAAGGGTCTTGCCAACCTCTCACTGCGCAAGCTCATAATACGTGAGCGTACAGTGCGACGGCCTGTATAGGTCAATTATACGATATATATTTAGATGAAACTATCGTGAAAAAATAGCACATTCGTTCACAAGTTTGTTATGTATGCCTACAAAACAAATATACTAAACTGCAAATTGAAAAAGTATTTCTCCTTTGTTAGTCGCATACTATTAGGTGCGATGTAATGATAATAATTATCTTTATTGCGTTCGTATCTCTATTAGGATTTTGACTAAAATGCAATACAGATGTAATGTGGGTGAACACAGGGTACACAAAGCATGAATAACATATGCACACATCTCCGGGTATTTTTGTGTGTGAATCGTTTGTACATATGTATTTGTCAGTTCTCATGTTCTCCAACAGGCTTCATTGAAATTGGCGGGTATGACGCCTTAGAAGAGGAGTACATGAAAGCCATACCGAATACAACACTGTACGGCAACACGTCATGTGGCTACCCACGTGAAGACGCCTTTCACCTTGTCAGGGATCCACTCGATTCTGATTGGCCATTTCCAGGGCTGCTCTTCCGATCATCAATCATTTCCCTGTGGTACTGGTGTGCTGACCAGGTAAATAGAAACATATCTTCTGCGCATGAGCACAATAGAGGCGATAATCTGTTTATAAACTGTAAATGTATATATATTTTTGTATTTCTTTATTTAGGTGATTGTACAGCGTGCTTTAGCATCCAAGACTTTACCCCATGCTCGGGGTGGCACTGTTTTAGCCAGCTACTTGAAAATAACACCACTGTACTTACTGATGTTCCCAGGCATGATAAGCAGAGCACTGTGGCCAGGTAAAAAGTGTACAATCTATGTTAAAAAATAACCAGGGTAAGATGTCTTAGTATGTACCATATAATCTCAAATCACATAAGGCGTTTTAAAAAACAGCACCACCTAGCTGAGTCAAAATGTACGAAAATCTATGTAACTGCAGCGAAAATTAAATTTAATTAAATATGATAAGTGTGGTTTGTAGTAAAATAAACATAACTATAGAATTTATTTGGATGTAAGACTCAAAAATACATTTTGAATTTATGCATTCATGAGTTTGAATGGTAAGTCTGCGCCGAAATAGGTTTATTTAAAACAGTACATACAAACTAGTCATTTAGTGATTTAACAATATATTCAGGTCGACACTGAAAACTTATTGCAGACTATGCCTCTTTGAGGACAAAATTCAGGTTCAAGGTCATTTATTTTCCAATTTATATTTCACAATGAACAATATGGACATATTATATGATTTGGGTAAATTCTAATTCCAAAATTTTAGGAAACTTGTTACCTGACAAAAAGTGTTACTTGTATTCCTGGATTACTTAACAATATGGTCTTATTATATGTACTGTGTTGGCAGACGAGGTTGCCTGTGCAGATCCTGATGTTTGTAATGAAGTATGTGGTAGTTCTGCTGGATGTAGCAATATTGCATACCCTAAACTCATATTGGAACTCATGCCGGAAGGTAATATTCTAAAGAAAAACTGAAATATTTACCGTTTAAATTATCGCACACATAACTGTTTAACATCTGATATGACACATTTAGAGAAATCACGCCCACATTCTACTTCACGATTTCAGGTCTTCGTGGGATGATGATGGCTGTGATGCTATCAGCATTGATGAGTTCATTGACCTCCATCTTCAACAGCGCCAGCACAGTGTTTACGTTGGATGTATGGAAACGAATCCGTAGACGAGCCAAGGAAGCGGAGTTAATCATAGTAGGAAGGTAACCTTTCGGAAATTTTTAGTATCGTGGAATATCGACTCCCAGTATTGTGAGATATCGACTCTCGGTA